CGGGCTTCGGGGCTCCGTGCTGCCCGCCGAGGCCGTTTCCCAGCCGAGGGCGCTCATCCCGGACGCTGTCGCGCGTGGGCCGCGTGAGTGAGCATCGTGGGGCGCGGGCGCTCCGCGGGCTCCGCCGCAACTTTTCCGAGCGTCGCCGCGCGGGTGCCAAGGACAGCGGGGAAAGGCGCGGGCCCCGGCCTGGACGCTGCGGGGAGCCCGCCCTGTCTCGGGGCTGCCTGCAGAGGGAAGCGAACGCCCCCGGGAGGCCGTGGGGCGGCTCGCGGCTCATCTCCGTGACCCCCAAGGGGTGGGCCCGGGGGTTCAAAACTGCAGCTTCTGCATTTTTTCCTAATGAGCAATTAAATTAGACTTTAAGAGACAGCAGTGATTATTGTGAAATTATTTGAAGAACACCTGCGGAAGCCCTCACTGCGGTACCCTGCTGTGCGGGAGGCTCTTTTGGGGACCGGGCGGAGCGCGACAATTTCTAGGACGAGCCTCGGCTCCGCCTCCCCAGCCCGGTGCCGCCCCCGGCCACACCGCCCTGTCCGCCGCAGGTTGCTGTGAAACTCCGGAAAGGTGGATTTGGCGAACTAATGCCTGTTGCCTGTGGCTTCTGCGGTTGGTCTGGGCGCGTTCCTCCGCCGGCCCGGGAAAGGTGTCAATAACAGAGGACGCTTCAAGCGACTCTGATCCTCTGTCCATCGCTCGGTGTCTGGTAAAGTGCACCACACAGTGCCTCCGACCCCACGCCCCCAGCTCGGACCTGCAGAAGTGCGCCGGCTCCCGACTGAGCATGCTCCAGGGTGCGGCCGCCACCCGGCGTCCGGGGTTGATGTGGCTGCGCTCAGCGGTGGCGGCCTGAAGCCCAGCAGACAGGAGGGGGCTCCGAGGGCGCGCGACTGCATGCACGCGTGGACAGGTCACCCGTGCACAGGGCCCGAGGGGCGGGTTGCTGCGTGGGACCTGGCTTCCAAGTGAATCTATACCTGGTCCTTCGCTAAAAGGTGGCTGTTAGAAGTCATCGTTTAATGTTAGTTTTGTAGCATCGCATTTTAACATACAGAACTTTTCGGCTTATTTTCCCTTTTAACAAACCTAATGTTTCTTTTTAAGTTATTCAGTAAGAATTCTTTACAGTTGGCCTAAAGCGCTAAGGTAAATGTACGTCCCCACTCTCAAATAGTTCTGCAGTATTGTATTCTTTTTTCTTCGCAGGTATTTACATAGTCGCTGTGTCCTTTCCTCCCCGGTCCTCTTTAATCTCAAAAACCTGCAAAATGCTCTCGTAGTATCTTAAAAATACTTGGAGCGGGTACGGGGAACTACTTTTTAATATTCGTTTGCAAAAGAGAAGACCAGAGTGGAGAAAGGTTACAGGGAAAGTATTTTATGGTTTTGAATTAGTAAACTCGAAAACACACAAGTAGAGATAGAGATGGAGAATAGAGATAGATGAGCTAGAGATAGAGTTGTTGAGCCTGAGGGTGATTGAACTTAGTTGTGTTTTTGTCTGAGGGATGGAAGGCGCGGGGTTTGGAGTGATAGTGAGGGATAAATACCCTTCATTCCAGTCTCTAGGCCTTTACACCAGAGAATGAATTCCGTTTCACTATGGCTGGAAACAACATCTCTCCTGAAAGCTCCCTCTTGAAGGAATATATTTATGCCTGTCCTCAAATCCTAACTTGTGCCGGGATCACCCCCATGCACCTCCTTATCTTTCACACTGCATTCTTGCTGGCAGCCCAGAACCCTGCTCTTGAACTTGCCCAGGTCCCCGTGGACATCCACACCACACGTAGTTTAGCTTGGAAAAAGGTGATCAAGGTATTTCTTCAACAACCTGTACTAGGGGCTGGGGTTTTAGCTCAGCGGCAAAAGCGCCTGCCTGGCAAGCGCAAGGTCGTGAGTTCGGTTCCCGGTAACGGAGAAAAACCAAAAAAAAAAAAAAAAACAACAACAACAACAAAAAAAACAACCTGTACTGTGGCTGCTCCCACCTGCTGGAGCCTTCCGCTCCCCATCAGCTTTTCTGTGACCCTTTCTTGGTTCTCTGACCCCTCTGACTGTTCCTTCTTCTCGTCCTCCTCCCAGACCTCTTCCTTTGCACCAGCCCATTGTAGGCGTTGTGCGGCCTCTTCCCCTTCGCTTGCCTGTGGTTCCTAGCGTGATGACGGGTATGTCCATCTTCTCAGAAGCTTGCGTCACAGATCTGGATATTCCAGTCATTCGTCTGCCCTTCCTGTCATGCAGCTGACACTGTCTACCTCCCCTTGTCACCACCTTCACGGCAGTCTTCAATCCCCACCATCCTCCCTTAAACCATAGAGCAGTGGCCTCCTAAGAGGGTCCTGTCTCTCTGCCTCCTGCTAGCCAGCCTCCCTGTCTCCTCAGACTTTTCCTTTTAAGTGATATTACAGTATGTCTTTAAAAAATTCTTGAGTGAATTTGCAATGCCTTCAGTATAAAGCCCAAGTTTTAAACATGAACTGGCCCTTGTTTGCCCTTCCAGGTTAATCCAGCTGGGGTCCTATGTTCCAGCCTATCCAAATTACCTGCCCTGTCAGTTCACACCTCATGTACATGTCAGTTCATTTGTCCCTCTTTCCCTCTTGTTCACCTGACAAATGTTAAGCCTTGTAAGATCGTGTTCAGACTGTGTGTCCTTTGGCCTTCTTGGGTGACTGCCTTCCTCTTTCACCTGTACCATGTACTTTGTCTTCATTTGGACACCTGATCTGATTTTCCTTCATCTCCTCTCCCACACTTTAGGTAGCTCTGTAATGAGGGCTATGTCTCAACCCTCTCTGTATCTTTGTTCTTAGTATCAGCACAATTTTATTGAATGATGGACATACACTGTATACTGTGTAAAGTTGATTAATTTTGACATTTATTCTTGAGGACCCTAAGCGCTGTGAATACATTGAGAAGACAAAATACTGAACAAAGTCACATCACATGCAACCTGTTCCGCGGTAAGCTCCTTTGAATAATGTAGGTGAGATCTCGGGTTTGACTTGCTTAAAGCCCGTGAGTATTTTCACCTTCAGAATTCAGGAGGTGATTCGTGGGCCAGTCTGATACATCTGTTTTACTGCCATGTTTTACTGCATGGTGTTCAACATCATCTTACTAATTAATCCACACATGCCATTGCTCTCTGTCACTGTGGTTCCTTCTGTATGTAGCTGTAATGTTCTAATTATGTGACTACTCCTTAGGACAGATTTTCTTTTTTTCTGTTGAAAGTATGTCACCCCAGAAGGCCAGAGAAACCATTTAGGAATTGCTGTAATTTTTATAGTTCTAGCAGCTCATATTGTCAGCTAACATCTAGAAGTAACTGGGGAGGGAGGGACCACCTGCTTCACAATCACCTGGGGGATGGTGAACTCACTCTGGAATTCCTGGGTAGCCTGGTCCAAGAGGCGACGGCTTTAACAGTCCCTCCAGGTGATTCTGCACATTACTTTTGAGAGACAGTTCCAAGTCATGTGGATAAAAAGAAAAATAACAGTTATTGGTCCAAAACTTCCAGTAACTCCTATTTTGGTTTCCTTTGATAGTACCTATGTAGAGGTGGAGTATCAGTCTGTTTTTAAAAGCGTTAGCCACATTTGTATTTATTAAGTAGCCTCAGCTGGTATTAGAGTTTGGTGGACATAGAAGCCTAATGAAATACCTGCTTATTTCTGCACTTGTTGACCCATTCATGGACTTTGTTTGAAAACCAGTGGAAATCCAGCACTGCTTTCCAGCACATTTTCCCTAAATTCTGGCCCCTTCAGCAAGAAGTATGTAGGGCGGTGGAGGTTTTGACCTTGCACCCTGCCTGGAAAGGGCAATAAGAGGATATGATCCTGTGTTAGGGTTAAAGGAAGTCAGTGCTTCTGTCTGTGGTCTTGGGACCTGTTGGCCGGGGAGAGCAAAGCCTCTTGAAAAGGCTGAGTCAGTGTTAGGAAACTGTTTCCTTCCTCGTCATGGCTTTAGGCTGTGCGTTGTGGTTGAGCCTTTGGAGGTGTGCACGCACGTGTGTGGTCTAACCAGCTCTCGCACTGGAAAAATCAAGGAATTTAATGGCGTGCCTGTAACTCAGAGGGAGCAGACGTAGCCTGACAGGTCACCACCTTCCTGACTTCCCTGTAAGACCACGCTCAAGCCCTTTTCTCCCAGACAGTTTGCTAGCTTGGGACTCTAATGGCCTTCTCTCTACTCCCCCCACCCTGGCTTCATGGATTTAGGGACATGGATTATTGGCAGGACAAGGGATGCACTAAGGATGCTTCCTCCTGTGTGTGGGGCTGGGGTTTCCTGAAAGCTGGGTAATGCTTGCATGGGATGGTTAGGAGACACCTCTTGGTGAGCCAGGTATAAAACAGCTCTGAGGACCTCAACTTAGGAGATGGCTGAACTCTAGAAGGGACTGCTTTATAAAGAATTTGACTTTGCAGATGCTTTGCCTTTGGATTCTGGAAGAATCATATTTTGTATATAGACTGGAGTTTTATACTTCTGGTTTGTAATTTTCTCAGGAAGGAGGGATGGTCAAGCATTCCTCTGTTGGAGAGAGGAGGTTGGGTGACCCAAGTACACACACACATACACCCCAGACCTAAACAACAGAATATATTCTGCAGAAATGTGGCACCCTAAATGAACCTGTGGTCCTCATACTCGACGGCGAGGTCACGTGACCTACTTTAGAGCGCTGCTCAGGGCGGAGGGCCTGTCAAGCCTAGAGGTGCTGCCAGCTTCATGTAGACCTCAGCAAGAAGTGCTGTGAATGTGCTTCTGCAGATTCAATAAGAAATCCAAAAGTAAACTTGGCAAGTTGTGTTGTGATTTTCGTGTTGGCGATATTCATGCCTTCTGTTTGGGTAGTTGTTCACTAAAGTTAAGAAAGAAGGAAAGAAAATTGTGTATTTTTTCTTTTGGATAGATGCAGGGTGGATGTAAAGCTTCTGTGAGGGCAGTGGTTGAGGAGAAGCCAGGAAGTGTGGCCGAGGCAGGAAGGAAGAAGCGAAGATAGATAGCTGGGAGCACAGAAGTCTTGGGCAGAGTCCTAGGGTGCCTGCAGAGGTCGGGATGGGGAGAATAAGATGCTGGCTCAGCAGTAGGTAAAGAGAACTGGCTTCATTTGTTAGGATTTGAAAGACAGTAGTAGCCTAAGCAGCCTTGCCTGCTATAGGCACCTGGCTTTTCTTGGGACCTTCCCCTCTGCTAGGTGAGGCATTGATAGAACAGTGACCAACTGTCCAAAACCCAGCTCCCACCCTACGGAGCTACATAGCATGAAGCCAAAGGCCAAGGACTTCTGCACGCTTTCACAACATGAAAGAGGGTTTGACACTGACTTTCTTCCTCCTCTCTCTCTATCTCTCTCTCTCTGAGACTGAACATAGGGCCTTTGTGTGGAGCTACCTCCAGACCCATTAAAAATATTTTGTTTTGAGACAGGGTCTCTCTAAGTCACTAAGTTGCCCAGGCTGAGCTCAAACTTGCAGTCCTCCTGTCTCAGCCTCCCATAGTGCTGGGATTACAGGCATGTGCCACCATGCCCACTGTGACATAAAATTTTCTTTGGACAATGACACAGTTCTGCCTTGATCTAACCCTAGAAATAAAATTTCCTAACAAATGGAAACGATTGTTCTTTCCTGTCACGAAAGACTCAGTCCAGTGCAGTAACCTTCAGTATGACGCCTGCTTTCTCTCCTCCAGGTAATATTACAGTTTCTACTCATAACTATAAGGATGACTGGTCTGTTTGTTTTGTTCTCCATCAAGGGTAAGAATGCTTATGAGTATTTTTTTTTTTTTTACTTACAGGTCATGTGGAGGTTATAACTGCAATTATTCTGAGGAGGTAGGTTTTCTTTTTTTTTTTAATTTGGCCCACACTTGATTTTCAGACAGATACACACTCTAGTTCTCTCTTTAGTAATATGTTTTTTAAAAATCTATTCTAGTACAGTTTTTGGCACACTATAGGTTCTAATACATTTTGTTGAATTATATGCTGGGATTTAGTGATAAAAGCACAAGTTGGAGTATTTTGGAGGCAGACATACACAGAAAGGATCAGTTCACTTGGTTCATCTAACGTGCTGTATAGACTTTGGCCTCAACTCTGTGGAATTGATTCTGCTTTTCTTTATATTGACATGCTTCATATCTCTTAGCAACGTGTTTTCCATGGAGGTTGAATGGGTCAGCCCACAA